AAAAAAATTTTAATTGAAAACACAAACAGAATATTTAAACAAACTAAAAACACAAAGTCTTATAAATTACTAGGAGTGCTCGCGGTTTGGCGGTTCAGTTGCGGCCAAAGGAATCTCAAATTCGCCATCCGTCTGCCAGATTGGCGGATTGGAGAAAATCAATCCGTAACTGTCCGTTCGTCATCACGCATCCGTCCAAAATGCGACGAATCGGATCGGATCGGTCGGTTTTGGCGGATCGGTACATCCGCTGCTCACCCTTTGGCTAAATTTTCCAAGCCTTTTTGACTTCTCCCATACTTACTGCCGCACCGTTTTCAACTTCTTCCATACACTATGGTTATTAATGAGATTGTTAAATTATTTTTATAAAAAAAATTTAAAAAATAATTTGTATATTAAAAAAAATATAAAACAAATATAAATTCTTATTAAAAAATAATAGGTTGCAATTGCAAAAAAAAAAAAAAAAAAAAAAAAAAAAATTGGGCATTTCATTAATAAAAAAAAAAAAAAAAATACATTGTGCATTTCATTAATATTGCTCAAAACAATGTGCCAAGTGTTTGTGTAAGGGCTTAATACGTGTCTACTGTCAAATTATCAAGTGAATATAGATGAAATTAAATAACTCAACTTTAATGGTTAACAAATATGAGAAGCTTGACCATTGGAGCTTAATAACTATTAATTAATAGAATTCAACAATTGAAAGGCCTTAAATCACATCTCTTTGTCTTCTCAAATGTTTTCTTTTTTTGGTTCATGCATTCATTTTAATATTGATAGAGAATTAGACGTGTGGAAGAGTGAGAGACATTAAAATTATATATTGAGTTATGTAATTGTTGTGATGAAAAAAAAAGGTTGTCTTCCGCTTCTATGGTGATTTATCCGATTATACCTCCAATTAAAACGTCGGGTGTGCTTCTACATCATCATTGAACGTTGCTTTTATTTTTTTTAAATACTTTATCTCACAATTATTTGTGTTTTGTGTTATGAAATTTATTACATTTGTGTTTACTAAAGCTATTAGATGGATCTAATGCAAGAAGTATAGACTATTTCGATGTCATTCTCGAGATTAGAAGTACAAAAACATACACAAAAAGTATATGAATAGACAATATTTTACAAAATTTATTTGTGTGTCTCACTTTTTGAAAAGCCTATAATTCATTTATTTTTTGCATTATATTTTATGTTTGATTTTTGTACCCTTTTTTTTATAGTTATCTTTATTTTCTTTAAAATTTTATTTTTAAAAATTAATAAATAAATAAGTAACTCATGTTCTATTTCAAATAATTTCATTTTTGTTTTTTTTTTTTTAAAGTAGTTTTAGTTTTGGGCAATTACTTACTCTTTTTCTATATGTTATAATTTTATGCATTTTAAGTGTATGATATTTTCACTAATACACTTGGAGATGCACTATGAAAGAAGTATCATGCGAAAATCAAGTAAGAAGAAGAAAAATAAATAAAATAATACGATGAATGTAGAACAAAGATTAAAGATCAAAACTCCCAAAACAAGCATGCAAGCAAGCAAAGAAGCAATTAAAATAGAATGTTTAATAATAGACATTTGAAAAATTGCAACAAAATTTTATAACTTTCCTTTTTGCTAAGAAAATTCTATTTGGTACTAGCTAAATAAAGTTCTTTTAAAATAGCTTTTTAAAAAAAAAAAAAAAATTGAAATTAAAACTATAATAAATTTATGTAAGTATAATTACTAATCACATTTTTTTACTTAATGTATAATATTATATTGACTACCTTTTTCAAATTTAGTTTTTAAATTATTTATATAGAAGTAAAAAAATGTCGATAGGAATAAATTTTTCCTTAATTTAGTTATAAATTTTACCTGTACATTATTTTTAAATTTTGAATAAAAGCAAAAATAAAATAATTGAATGAAGATATGATACATTTATTATATTCATTTTTTCTGTGTACAAAAGTGTTAGAATAGTATAGAGAGAGAGAAAAAATAATATGTATTGTATTCAATGAATTATCCTATACAATAGAAGGCTTGTATATTACTATGACAATACCTAATATATCTAGGAAATCAATACTTAATATATGTAGAAATATATACCATATATATATTAACATCCTCCCTCAAACTCAAAGAGTATAAACATCTTGAGTTTGGAGAGAGAAACTAAAATATGAATTAAAACTAAATAAAATAAAAGATAAATAGATTGTAAAATTCAAACGGGAGCGCAAGGGCGCTTGAAATAGATCAGAGGCTGGAACTAATGTCGGGAGACAATTTATGGTTGTATCGGACCATTGTAGGAATTGGTTGAAACTAATGCCAGGACAGTTTAAGGTCGTGGCGGACCGATATAGAAACTGGCTAGAATTAATGCCGAAATCAGAGGCCGGAGCCGAGAGACAATTTATGATCATGTCGGACCATTGTAGGAATTGGCTAAAACTAATACCGAAACAGTTTAAGGTCGTACCGGACCGATATAGAAACTGGTTGGAACTAATACCGAGATCAGAGGTCAGAGCCAATGCTGGGAGACAGTTTATGATCATGTTGGACCGTTGTAGGAGTTAATTGAAATCAATGTCGAGACAGTTTACGGGGTTATGCTGAACTGTTATAGAGATTGGTTAACCGAAATTAATGTTGAGACAGTTTAATGGGATCATGCCAGATCGATGTAGAGAATGGATGTTGAACTAGCAAACGTGGCACATACATAACTTATGATGTGGTGCTGAACGATGATGGCAATAGATGACTGAGTGCACCAGGGGCAGCTTGGATGGTGCGCCAGAGAGCAACTTTAGTGGTACGCCACATGAGGCCGCTTTAGTTGTGCGCCACAAGGGACGACTTAGGTGGTTTGCATAGTGTATAACCATGTTCATCAAGATATATGTATAATACTCCTCTCAAACTCAAATAGGTTTAAAAATAGAAGCTACTTTTGAGGTTGAAGTAGAGTGAAAGACAAAGTGAAAAAAAAAAAGAAGATTGCAAGTAACAAACAAAAATAAATAAATAAATAAATATGATAGGGGTATTTAGGATAGAAATAAACCAGTGGACAAAGAAATGGATTATCACGAAGCGATACTAACTGGAAAATATGACAACGAAATAGGTTAAGCTCCGGCAAGTGGCCAAGGCAAGGTTGCTGTCCGCCGGTAAGGCGAAGATCACAAAGAGCTCAACCTATAGTTTTGATATCATGTTAGAATAGTAGAGAGAGAGAAAAAAAAATGTATTGTATTCAATGAATTATCCTATACAATAGAAAGCTTGTATATATAGGTTGGGAAAAAGTATCTTATAAGAAACTTAACTATGCAATACCTAATATATCTATAAAATTAATGCGTAATATATGTAGGAATATATACCATATATATATATATATATATTAAAAAATAAGACATTTAAAAATTGTAATTTGCACATATACAAATAATTATAACCACAACCCGTGCATAGTATAGGTGAAACACTAGTTTTAAAATAATGAAAAATGAAATAAGAAGCTAATATTTTGGGACAGAAAAACTATTATGGGGTGTTTTGGGAAGATGATTAAAAATTATTTTTTTATTTTTTTTAAAAAAAATATAAAAAATATGAAAGATAATATGATTTAAAATAAATTAAAAATTGAGAAGTATTTTTAACCCACCTTCCCAAAGGAAGCCTATGTTTAACCGACTAAACTCTAAATGCAAAGTGAAAATTCAATTAGTAGGAATTCATTACCCAATAAAATTAATACTTGGTCGGTGTTAGTTTGACTCTAAAAAAATTATTTTTATTACTTTGTCGTTAAAGGCTGATGAACGAAGAAACATAATCCAAGAGTGTTTAATGATTAAATTAACAAAGTTTAAACTTAAGGATTAAAGTAACATAAAAAGCATTGTTTAAGAATTTAAGTGAAATTTATTATTGTTCTGTTAATAATTTGGATAGCTATTTGCAATTTAAATCAGTTTTATTTAAGCATAAAAAATTTGGAACAAATTTGACAATTATTAATTTTTTTTTTTATGACAATCATTAATTAAGAAAGATTCTAAATAAAACTTGTCAAAAACCCCAAATAAGGGAGAAAATATGACTTTGCGGAGTTAGGACAGTAAATGAAGTTTGAAAATATTTTATTTTAATAATTTTTGACTTTTAATGAGTTAAATATGAATTGAATTATAATAGTTTAATTTTTTATAGTACATATAAATTTAAAAAAATTCTTACACAAAATTATATAAATTTTTACGAATTTATATAAATAATTTTATAAAAATACACAAGTCGAATATAAATTCACATACGTTCGTAAAAATTTATGACTTACATAAGTTTATATTCAATTTATGTATTTTTATGATATCACTTACGTAAAGGGTTTATTACACTTTATACTCCTATATTATCATCAAATTGTCTATTTAATCTCTAAATTTTTTATTGTGTCTATTAGGTCCCTAAAGTATATAAATTAAAAGGTAAAAAACATTTTATCTCCTTGTGGTTTTGAGTAGTTACAGATGACTCCCTGATGTTTAAATATATGCAGAAATCTGTGTTGTAATTTTGGACTAAATTGCAATCTAACATTCTTAACTTCAAAAGTTAATAGACTATTTTAGCCTTGTGCAAAAATTAAATAAATAAAATGTATTTGTGAATACTTACTGGCTTATATATCTATACTATTATATATGTGAGCACATGACTTGGTGTCTAATAGTGTGGTAGCTTCTCCTTCTGCCACGTGGCAAATTTTTCTATCCTAAAATAAAAAAATGTTATTCAAAGGCATGAGTAAGATTTGAACCCAAGACCTTGGGTTTCATTAAGAACACTCTTACCATTTAGACAATATACATATTATTGCATTAATTTCTTTATTATTTGTTTTTATGCTTATTTATCTGAATTGCACATGCATCGCATGTGCCACACCACTAGTATATATATATATATATAGAATTGCTATTATGTTATTGGTGTCTTTTGTTGGGATATTTGTAGAAGTTGATGAAGCTGTGGAACCACCCTTAAAACAAGAAGAGAATTTAACACTTTCAACTCTGGACAACTTGGACCCAAATGAATTCAATGAGAACCAAGACAGTTGCGATACAAATTCACTGGGTAAAGGGAAGGTTCTCTCTGATATGAATGATACAGCAGATACAAGTTCACTCGGGAGTTGGAAAGATGGGGCGGAAAATGATTGGTCAGAACATGTTACCGAGGCCTTGACAAGCGAAACAGTTGGATCACCAGCAGTGCCTGTTGAGAGCCCGAGGGTGCAGATGTCGTGGGCTGACATGGCAGAGGAAGATGAACTTGAGGAGTATGAAGAGACTCAAGTAAGTTTGCAGACAGTTAATGGGCATGCTCTGTCCAGAGAGGAATCAGTGGCAGTGAAGGTTCGGCAGAGGGAGTACATTCGGTTCAGTAGTGTGGATAGGAAGAAGGATTTTATTTGTTTGGAGAGAGTTCAGGGAAAAATTGTTAACATCCTAAAGGGGCTGGAGCTTCACACTGGTGTTTTCAATGATGCAGAGCAGAAGAAGATTGTTGATTATGTGTACAAGCTTCAGGAGATGGGAAAGAAAGGTGAATTGAAAGGTCAGTCCATTCATCCCACTGTTAGTCCCCACAAACTTTGATGTAATGCTGGTAAAAGTTCTTGTAGTTTCTTTTATCTTGTTGCTTTCTGTAATTTAATCTTTCGTTAATCTTGTTTATTTATCAAAAAAAAAAAAAAAATCTTTTGTTAATCTTGTGTTAGGATGGTTGCTCATTGAACTAGGAATAGACTAGGTTCTTGTATGATATGTACAATTCCCACGGTCTGGTTTTTTTACTTAAATGGTCATTTCCTCCACCACTTAGTAATTAGGAGCCACGTTCCTGGTCCATGTTCATGGCTCAGCACAGCCTGCAGACAAGGTTGTACTTTGAAATTCTCTGTTTATAACTTCCATAAACTTTGGAGTGGTTCGGGAATCTTGAGACAATCTGTGTCAAAGTTCTCCATTGTTGAAGAAGTAGAAGAGCAACAATGATAGGCTATGAAGCATGGGTACTTCAGAAAACTTGCCGTACCCGTATCGGGTACTTACCGGCGTACCGTATCTCGTATGGTACTTCTACATACGTACGGATACACGAAACATGTACCCACATTTTTTCTTCTTAATTTTTGATGTACCTAGACGTACTTAATATATAACCAAGCTATACTATTGTTGGCACATAAATTTCAACCAAATTTATGTTTAAATTTCAAATACAGTCAATGACACACATAGAGCTTGTGATAGGAATGTTGTAGGTAATCACTTCCTAAAAAGGATCAATATGATCCATTGAAGTGTATAAATAAAACAACTGTCATTATTCAAGAAGCTGAAGTGACACATGGCGCCTACGAAAGATGATACCTGGAGAGCCTACAGTAAGGACACCACACAGGATGAAACCCCAAAGATCAATCCGGTTACTCAGATATACGATTAATCATATAGCGCTATCATTCAAAATTAAAACAACGTCGTTATTCAAGATACTCAAGTGACACGTGGAGCCTATGAAAGATGATACCTGTAGAGTCTACAGTAAGGACACCACACAGGATGAAACCCCAAAGATCAATCCGGTTACTCAGATATACGATTAATCATATAGCGCTATCATTCAAAATTAAAACAACGTCGTTATTCAAGATACTCAAGTGACACGTGGAGCCTATGAAAGATGATACCTGTAGAGTCTACAGTAAGGACACCACACAGGATGAAACCCCAAAGATCAATCCGGTTAATCAGATATACGATTAATCATATAACGCTATCATTCAAAATTCAAATGGTACTATCGTTCAGTTTGAAATTCAAATTGAGGCTGAGGCATTCTTATCACCTGAATGGCCCTCTATAAATATGAGGACCATCACACAAGATCAGGGATCAGAAAATCAGAAGTGAGAAGATCAGAGAGAGATAGAGAAAGAAATCAAGAGCTAAAGAAGTTGTTACAAGAAAGAAGAAGAGAAGCCCAGAGAACTCAAGAGCCTATACTACAAACGCAGAATGGCAACGGATAGGTAAAGGGTTCCAAACCTAAGAATTGTACTTTGTATTCGAGGGTTCAAAACCCATAACAATTTCAATAAAATATTTATTTTTCTTAAATTGTCTTATGTTATTTATTTTGTTCTTCATTAATCGGAGGTTTCATTTATATAAATGTGTAATTAACGATCTAGAATACAGATCAGAAATAGCAACCTGCTATTCAAATAATTAACACTGCTTAGTCCAAAAACTAAACAGTGGACATTTGTAACAAAAAATTTTGAAATGTGTTGAAACACTTCATGTTTCAAAATTTGTGTCTACAAATTCTGGCACGCCCAGTGGGACTTATTTCTCCTCTCATCTTTTAAAGAACAAATATATATATATATATATTTGAAACTTACTGACATATTCTTTTGTTATAGGAATGTTGAAGCAACTATGAAGAGACAAACCTACACTCTAGTGGTTTTGAAATCACCAAGCTCTTTGTTGTAACCAAGTGTTAACTTGGAAAGCTGTAAGCCCGTAGGGCATTTTGTTATGGGATTAACATGTAATACTTATGTAATGGAATTCTAATGAATGATAGAAGGTGGTTAGTTTATCTATCAACGCTTGTCTTATTTATTGGGTTTAATGTTATTATTTTGAGGGCGTTACATAAAACACAACGTTAAAATGAAAAATGTACATCCTATATCGGCTCCCTGCATGACTTCCGATTATGGCTCCCCAGCTTATCACATCTCCCGCACCTTATTTGCTTAAGTTTCTCATCCCTTGATGGGATCCTATTCTTTTTCGGCCTTCCGGGTGGTCTTTTCACAGTTGGCGGGTATATAGTGAAGTCCATGGGATCAAAAGGCGGCTTCTCCACCGATGGTATAGGGAATATGGCACCCGAATACGCTCCACGATATGTCTGTACATGAAAGTAATGTTCGACACAATCATTGAGATTGTAGCGGCTCTTCTGAATGGCAACAACAGCATGGTCACATGGGAATCCGTTGATTTGCCATTTGAAGCACGAACATGTACGCCTCGCAACATCAACAGTAACAGATGGTATCGAATGAACTTCAAACACATTCTCATTGGCTTTGCTAACTTGCCACGACCTGCTGTGATTGAACGAATCCATAAGCCTTGTTTCAAATGTAGGACAAATAAGCTCATTCCATTTGTTTGCTTGGTCACGTCGTGCAGACATTTGCCGCATCAACTGAGTGCGAATTGTGTCCACCATTTGAGTGATAGGAAGATTACGCGCTTCTTTAATCCAGTTATTAAATGACTCCGCAGCATTGGAAGTCATCTCCCCATAACGCATGCCCCTGCACAATATCATAAACATTTTACAACACGAAAGTTAACAGGTTTGAACATTCACGTTGACTGATGTGAACATTAACATCAACTTACACGATGCACAGATGTGAACACTAACATCAACTTAAATGACAGAATGATGTGAATGTTAACAATAGCAAAATATGACAACAGATGTGAACATTCACATCATTCAAATCAGTCATTACTAGCAGATGTGAACATTCACATCAATGACATTGAACATGAAACACAATTGGAAGATTTTTACAAATCCTAACTGATAATTCACATCGCTACCATTCTGACTTGACCAATGGAACACTTTATGAAACTATTATTACCTGAAGTATGAATTTGCCCAGTGCTCAGGTGCCAAGTCATTGAAAAAATCATGTGCTCGTTGTTTACCCTCCTCTTTTAATTTTGCAAGCTTTTCATGAAACCCTACCACAGTTGGCTCATAAGCACAATCACCCAAACTACTTACTAGGTGATCCCTGAAGCCATTATCAATTCCTTTCATCTGGTCTCTTAAATTGCTCTTCAAGTGTTGTAAGCAATAACCGTGATGAGCCGATGGGAATACCTTCGGCATAGCTTCTAACAGGCCAAGATTACGATCCGAAATAAAAGTAATCTGGCGGTTACCATCAACAACCTTCCCAAGTTCATGCAAGAACCACGACCAATTCGCCGTGGTCTCCGAATCAACAACCGCAAATGCAACAGGAAACAGACCTACAACACAACACCAATACACAACTGTTCACATTATTCCAAAATGAATAGAAAACAATATAAATAAAACAGGTCATGTAAATGTTTATATCTACCTTGCCCTATTACTATTGTTATTTCTGGATTCAAGTTCATACACAACAATGATGTGAACATTCACATTAACGCCCATCAATAATTCATTTTTGATTGTTCAGCAATTGATAATGTGAACATTCATAGTACTGTTCATTAACGAATCAACTGACAGTAGTATACACTGATGTGAATGTGAATGTTCACATAACTATCATTAACAGGCACAGATGTAAAATAAGGTGAATGGATCAGTGTGGAATAATGTGAATGTTCACATTACAGGCATCAGTAGACACAGATGTGAACATTCACATCAGTGCTTACTAATGTCAATGTTCACAGTACTTATAATTTCTCCATCACTCATTTGTCCATACTATGCATGTCAATGTGAATATTGACATGAATATAAAGGTAAAAAAATTACTAACCATTGTTTCCGTCTTTTGCCGTTGCCGCCAGTAGCTGACCTTTGTACTTTCCTTTGAGGAATGTTCCATCCAAGAATAATAAAGGCCGACAAGAATTGAACCCAGAAATACACGCAGCGAATGCCACAAAGAAACGACGAAATTGTTGACTACTCGCATCATAGTCAATATTGACATAACTCCCCGGATTGTACCGCATCACAGCATCCGAATACCACTGCAGCTGGTCAAATGATAATGAGTGATCTCCATGAATACCAGCCTTTGCTTTCTCCACAGCCAACCATACGACATGGTAACTCACATCTAGCCCATAATCCCTCTTCAAAATAGTCACAACATCACACGGCCGAGTCAACGGCTTGTCCCTCATAATTTCAGATATGGTACTCGACACCAAATCCGAACTAACTCGCGGATTCTTCGATGTTCGGACATCCGTACCACACGTATGCACATCACTAAAACTCTTGATGTAGAAAAAATCATTTGCTCGTTGTGCTCTACAATGTATAGCCCACAAGCAGCCCCTCTCCTCCCGCATCGCACACACAGCAGTAACTCTTGTTGTCTCGTTCTTCACGTATGTAAACTGAAACCCACATTGGATGGCGTACTTACATAAAACGTCACGAAATTCTTGTGCACCTCCAACAAACCGTTGTCCCATATGCGTAATACCATTTGCCCAAGGGGCTGACAACAACACCTTCTCGTTATGGTGGCAAAATCTTTGTAACGCATCAATTTCTTCCTCAACCCCCACACGCACCAATCCCAAACTAGTTGACTGAACACTACCACTTTTCAACTCAACCACAACTTCTACATGTTGTACCCCCATTGATTTAGCAAGCAGTAACATGTTCTGAAATTCTTCCTCATTGTCCAAATCACACTTCCTAATCCCAGGTAGTTTACAGAACAGTGAAATAGAACCAGCAGACAACTCATCCCATTTCTCACACAAACACTCCACCAAACGAGAATAACACATGGCGCGGGCAACATTTATTACAGTTGTACTGCAACCATATGTACACACCAACAGCATAAAGGTATCCATCTCCTATAAAAACACAAAAACACAACAATGAACATTAATAAAAATCAATATGAAAATT